AATCTAATACAAAAACACTTGTAGATGCATAGCAGACTTTATAACAAGACAGCAAATATTATCCCTGGTTAATTAATGGTTATGTATATTGCCAAATCTTGTTATAAATTAAAAAAGTTGCGTATAAAAAATTAACTTACTTTGGTTTAGTCTTAAATCAATTTTTGGGAGTTCAAAATCTAAAATTTATTTGGTTTACCAATTTTTTCAAAAATATTTTCAATTCATTTTTTCTATGTCTCTTCTTCTTTTCTCTCACATCTACAAATCAATCAATGACATTTTTTTCCCTCCTTCCTTATTTTTTCAATCTTAGCACATCAATCATATCAGTTTTTCTCTTACACACATCTAATTCAACTACAAAAGATTATAATCATTCCCTAACTACAAAACTCCAACTACAAACTATTTTTTAAAATATATAACCGAAAACAAATTTTCAAATTTTGAAAAACTTCTATTAAAATTATCTTTCAACATTGATTTCAAAATCAAACCAAATGACCACTAAAGTGTTAAAATTTTCAGAAGTTAAGATTTTACTCAAAAAATTACTAAAATTACTAAATTACTCTATTATATTTTTTATATCATTTTTTCGTAAAAGATTTTAAAAAATAAACCACTACAACAAAAAGAGATTTTTTCGGTGCGCAATAAGAACGCCGTAAAAACCCTTTCTACGACGTGCAGGCCACACGTCATATTATGACCAGTCATGGGAAAGTCATTCACTTTCAACGGGACATGCTATCATACGCCGTTAAAAAAACTATTTAACGACAGATTTTGTTGCGTCCGTTGTTACTTTTTCTACGACATCGCTATAGTACGCCGTTAAAAACTATTTAACGACAAATTTTGTGCATCATCGTTACTTTTCTACGCACTACTTTTGCACGCCGTTTAATTGGTTGAGACAAATAATGACACTGATTGCGCACCATTAAAATATGTAAATACAACGACTTATTATGTCTGTTGGTAGAATATACAATTTTTTTTAAAAAAAATAAAAAGCAGGTTCTTATTTGACCAATTTTGTACAATCATAACAAATATTTACAACAAGCATCACAAAACATTAATTAACCACCAAAATATTGTTTGAAACGTCAAAAGAAACTATATCCATAAATTATAAACATTCAACAATTATCTATACGATTCCAAACATTTGAAAACTATATCCTTAAGTTTCCAAACTGTACAAAAGTTTTTAAACCATCCAAAACTATGTATATCTAACTTTCTAAACATATCGACAACTTTCAAGATTTATTGAATAAATCTAGTGATTGTGCGACCATACACCTCCACAAAAACTCACAAATTGGCAAATCTGCGCTTAAATCCAAATCTCTCTCACAATGTGATCCACAAATGAAAAGTGGGGGTCAGAGAATTCCTCTTCCATTGAAGAGTAGATAGCACCACGGAATGAGATTATCCTAGCTTTCAGAACACAAACTTTGATCCTCCACCGGTAATCACAACACAAAGAAATAAATCAATGACAACACAAAGAAATAAATCAATTTCCTAAGCTTCCAAACTGACCATAAAACAGCAAACACTACAAGAAAATACATTTTTGACGATATTTTTGGCTACCAAAACAATTTAGTCGCCAAAAGTTATGGAACTGGCTACCAAAAATAATATTAGTCGGCAAAAGTCAACTTATTTAGCTACTAATTTTTTTAGTAGGAGAATGTTGATTATTTGGCGACTAAAAAAAATTTAGTAGCTAAAAGTATTACAATTGTGCGACTAAAAGAAATTTTAGTAGCCGTAGAGCTACTTTTAGCTACTAAATTGTTTAGTAGCCGAATGAAAATAAAAAATTATTTTTTATCTTTTGCAACCAAACTTTTGGTCGCCCAAAAATATATTATTCAGCAAAAAAATTCCTTTTAGTCGCTGTAGAGCTACTTTTGGCTACTAAATTGTTTAGTAGCCGAATGAAAAAAAAAAATTATTTTTTATCTTTGGCGGGACCAAAATTTTGGTTGCCAAAAATATGATTTTTAGCGATAAAATTCCTTTTTAGTCGTTGTAGAGCTTACTTTTGGCTACTAAATTGTTTAGTAGCGAATGAAAACAAATAATTACTTTTATCTTTGGCGACCAAATCATTATTTTAGTCGCCAAAGATGATTTATTTCAGCGACCTTTCAAATTTTGAATGGATTCCAAAAAATTATTAGCATCTCTCTCTCTCTCTCTCTCTCTCTCTCTCTCGATTTTCAGAGTCCCTTCTCCGTCTCCGTTGCCCTCTCCCCTCCCTCTCTCACTGCCCTCTTCCTTCTCCTCGCCTTCGCCGGAAACCGGAGCACCTCCTCCTCCTCCGCCATCGCCATCGTCATCGTCATCGTCATCGTGAGTACCGCCGCTCTTTTCACGCCGCCTCCTCCTCTGCCGATCTTCATAGATCCACCGCCACCGCCACGAGATCCAGAGGCTTCATTGTTGAGATGAACTCTGCTCCATTGATGCTCCGTCTCGCTTATGCTTCTCTCTCTCTCTCTATATATATATATAGGAATTGGGTTAAATTTTATATTAAACTTGTTTGGCTGTAAAATTGAAACAACTTGAAATCTACAATTTTTATTTTCTTGATGAAATTGGTCTCTCTCTTTAAAACATAGAAGGAACCTAATCTAAAATTGGGATATTTAAAATCTGTTCTCATAAAAACCTAGTTGATTCTAAATGGAAAAATTAAATTTTCACAATTAAATGCACCCTAATAAATTGGAACTTTCAATTGGTTGATTCGAAATGGAATAATTCAATTTGCACAGCTAACTGACCCCTAATAAATTGGAATTCTCTAAGAAAATATTTTAAAGATTTCATCCATGATCAATGTTGATTTTGCAAGGGTAAAAACAGATTGTAAGTTATAATTACCACTGTAAAGGTAAAAACATGATCAAATTGGGATCGTTTATAAAGGAGTTATAAATGAGAATGTGAGACCAGGTTACAAGACCACGCTGGTTGCTATTAAAGAGCTTGATCATGAAGGATTCCAAGGCGACAGAGAATGGCTGGTATTTGTTATTTGTTTTGGCTTACATTGTTTCTGTTCTTTTTTTTTTTTTTTAAGCTCATTTATCTTATTATTATTCAGCCTCGCATTTGCAGTAACTATAGATATGTAAAGTTTGGCATTCTACTTTATTTTATCCTGAAAACACACTACTCACAGGAAATAGCCTATTATAAAATTGTGGAGGGAAGGGAATCACTTAGTCTTTTTATTTTTATTTTGTATAGCTTGTATTTTCTAGATGGTACCTTGTAACCACAAATAGTTTGAAGTGGCTACTTAATTTACTTTTCATTTGTGAAAGAATGTGGACAGAATGGTTGAACTAGCTGAAAGTGGATCATTTTGGGTTGCCTCACAAACGATGGAGAGAGAAAGAAGAGGGTGGGAAGGAGGAGTGCAATATTATTTTATTTTCAATATATGCAATAAAAGGACACCTTTTCATGGGATACAATTTGGAAAACTCCTTTATAAATATGTTCCTGTTCTTTCTGCATTGGATGGGTGCCTTGATGTTCTTGAGATCTCATGTCTAATGTAATTTAGTGGAACTAGCTTCACTTTATAAGACTAATTTAGTGGAACTAGCTTCACTTTATCAGACTAATATATATATATATAGATCTATATAGGAATTGCTTTGCTATAGAAGGCTCGCTTTTTTCCCCCCCTGTTTTGCCCCTTAGATTGATATCTATCTATATCTATTCTGAAGCAATGGTAAAACTTGAAATTGTGATTTATTTGCTGACTCTGTGCACCATGGTATTCTAATCGTCAGGCAAAGCTAAAGGCGTCTCATTATCAATTGGCACCCTGACGTTCTAATGGGAATTCACATTTCCTCCACAATCACCATCTCACCCTGGGGTTTATAAAATTGCTACTCTTGTTTAGTTTGGGGTTTATGCTTGCTTTGTTGATTTTTAACACAGTTACGGAATCTATATTAAAAATAGATGAGCTAGTGGTTGTTTTTTACACCATTATATGTTGAATCCGGTCAACACACTCCTGATAATGGGAAGGTAGACTAAAGTTCAAAGGATGTTGAACCTGTTTACTATTTTAATGCATAGATATAGGCTTTGTTAATTTCATTATCCTCTGCTGCAATCTAGGATTTCAGAACAAAGGAGAAAGAACTCCAAACAAAGGAGGCTGAATTGAGGAGGAGGGAGCAGGTACTTGTTTATACTAACTAAAATTGTAGCTTCCAAATATGTTTTACCTAGAATTGAATGGCTATTTTTTAATTTTATTTTCATGGACACTTTGTATTAATCTTATTAATTTTTCATTTTGTTTTATATTATGCCTATGTCATGGATTCCCTGAAGGTCTATCACAACCTTGTTCTATTTTTAGACACCTTAAAATTACCTTATGAGGCCTAAATATTACATTTTCTATTTTGTGCACTTTAGGCATAATTCATCTTTATGGCTATAATAAGCTTTAACAAGAACTTCTTGTAAATTCATGACATTCCCAGGCTTGTTAGTATGCCTTCTATGGAATATTATAGCAGTTACCGTAGCCTGGATCAATGAGAAGGTGGGCTTAGAAATACTTTGAATGGCCTTCTAAGCCTCTTGCTTGCATATATGAGTCTTGAGTTTTCTTGTCTTGTAGGTCCGACAATTTGGTTTCTTGCTATTATCTACTTCATAACAGGGGTTCCAGGGGCTGTGCTGTGGTATCGCCGTGCTATGAGGTACTATTTCGTGCTCTTTGCCTTTAAAATTGGGATCTATTTGGGAATTCTCTGTTATAAAATTGTCTGTTAACCCATTACAGGACTGATAGTGCATTGAAGTTTGAGTGGTTTTTCTTGAGTTACATGGTAAGCTTTTGCATCTTCTAGTTAGATTTGTTTTCTACATTGAAAGTTTTCTGGAAGTCTTATTTCTGTTCCTTTTCCTTATCCATGCAGCTCCATATTGCCTTCTGCGTCTTTGCTGCAATTGCGTCTTTGGACTTCGAATTTGCAGTGTTTTTTCAATTCTTATTTTGTGCTAAAAAGCCATGTTGAGTTCTCTTGAAATTTTTTAGCCCCCAAAAATGTTGGAAACAGTAAACTACACATTGTAAATTATATCACAAATTAAGCTATATAGGGGATCACATTTGCTGTGAGTTGGTTATTTATTTTGTATCCTGTAACTGATGAATGTATTTTCTGATTGTTTGACAGTGGAATCTTGCCAGCAATAGATGTCATGGGTGATCATACTAGGGTTGGGGTGAGTTTAAGATCTTATCGCTTATGGCATAGTATCACCAAACCATTCTAACTGCAAAACTATTGTTGGAAAGTTATTTGATTATCTCCTTTATTACTTTACAGATTTTCTACTTTATTGGATTTGCATTTTTTGCCATCGAGTCACTGATCATCATCTGGGTTATCTAGGTTTGTTAATCTGACTTCAATTTCTCTCCTCTCCTCTCACTTTCCTTTCTTTTGTACTTTCTCTTGAGCTTTGTTGTCCCTTGTCCCAATATTGCAAGATGTTTACATGTACTTCCGTGGCTGTGGCAAAGCAGCAGAGATGAAGCGTGAGGCTGCAAAACGGACAATGATGGCCATCATTTTGAGCCCGGAGCCTAGCCCGAGATCCTGGGCTTGGGTCAGGGCCATCATTTTGAAACCCGGCCCGATCCATCGGCCTACTTAAGGCTTACTCAAGCCAGGCCCGCCCAACCGAGGGTGGTTAAAATCTTTAATCTCTTATGACAGGTACAACAAGATTTGAGATATGGAGAGGACATAAATAATAAGAGAAACGGATGAGGAAATAACAACACATACTTGTACATTTAGTGACCGTTTCCGAGAATCAAGTTGCTCTGGGGTGAATTCAGCCTGATTGAAGCAGTGATAGAAGCAATATGAATGTTTTTGATTGGCAAGCATTATGAATGTTACAGAAAATAAACATAATCATAAATTTCAAGTGCTCATCAGATGTTGGATTTCAAAGGAGCTCAAAGAGACAAATAAAGTACCTTCTGAAATGGTTTAGTTTTCAACAATTTGAAAAGAGTAAGGAGAGGATAAACAGTGGAATCAATGTTTGAGGGGGAATCTAGCTTCCACGAAGACTTGTCACCATCCATGAAAATTGAATGATAAATATAAAAGTTGCAAATTTGACAGAAACATATCAATGAAAAATAATTAAATAAAAATAAACAAACAAATAAAATTGTATGAATCAAACAAACCAAATATGAGTAATGCACTTATAGACTTCACCATCTAGCTTAGTTAATAGAACTATAATAACACATGTCAATAATGAGACTTTCATTTCTTGCTAATGAGCCACAATATTCATTCAAATTTTACATTTAATAATGCACCATTTGAGCAAACCCAAATCCATGGAAGCATCATGACTAATAAAATATTAAAAGAACAATTAAAATATACTGTGTCTCAACCACGGTAGCATACTAAATTTGCCGATCATGAAAACTAAAGACGACATGATTGGCCTATCTATAACATGATCCTGAACACAAAAAAGGCTAATATGTATGCATCTTATTACCGAGGGCAAGGAACATGAACCAGCCAATGCTCGATCCATAAAAAACTGAACATTGAAATGAGTGCTATTATTTGTCACCATGTTTAGATCACCAATTTTTCCAAACATCAAGGAAAATGAGTGGCAGGCAAGAGGCTTAACCATTTTCTTCCAAGGCACTATTGTTATATCTTTCTAAAATTTAAGAATCACAAGCTCCATGTCAACATAGGCTTTTGTAAGAGCCTCATTCTCAAGGCCCATAGCCTCAGACAACACCTCCAGCAACTTGCAAGCCAAGTCCATCAATTTCTCGCTGTAGGTCTCCGTTACAGCCCTCCACCCTTTAGGCTTGTCGAGCCACCTTGAGTAGTCTCAGGTCCGAATCGATTAATGGTGACGTTGACCCAATAAGCCTATCAAAATCTAAGATTATTGAGTAGTAATTAATTAGTATAAAATATATTTTTACTGGTATGAAAAATATTTTTCAGTTAACCATTTTGTTAATAAATAAATCATTAAGTTAATTAATAATTTTTAATGATATGAGAAATTTTTCAACAAACAATTTTGATAATTAATTATTGCATAGGATAATTTTTTTCCCCCCGAGTATTGTGTTAAATTAAAAATTAAAACAAACGATAGCTATAATTTCTAATATTATAAGTCTGATTTATATTATATAAAACAAATCTTATGTGCCTATCTAAAAAAAAAAAAAATCTTATGTGCATATTTGTAATTTGTTAAAAAATAAAATATTATAAAACAAACCTTCACTCAAAACGTTCACTCAACAGTTAAACATATGCGTAATTACAACCAACAATATTATAAGACCAAAATATTTGCATAATTACGAAAAAAACCTTCACTCAACATATAAGTGACTATTAGTAAATTATTCAAAATGAAAGAGCAAAATTGAAAAGAAAAGACAAATTTCAAGCAGCTAAGCGGTTCTTATATATATAGATATATATATATATATGACCCCAATGGAAGATTAATCAGAACAGGTAAACATTTGAATGAAGGCTTTAAGCACATTGCTTCTAGTTGTCTGTTATTACTGCGAGGAGATGTTGTGACGTGAGGGGCCATTGTTGATCTCACACTATTTGAGCCTATTTTTGTGATATATTTCAGCATCTAAGAACTGTAGGTAGAAATTGACACTCCCATCCAAACATATGCTAAGGGAATGCAAATAGAAAAGATGACAACCGAACATATGGGTTGCAGCTGTATGAGAGTAATATACAAGCAAAATGGTGGCGAGAGAGCAGTTATCCTAAGACCACCAGCTATTGCGTCAGATGTACATAGATCAGCAAAATGGTGAGGGAGCATTTATCCTAAAACCATCAGCTATTAGCTTGATTATCATCTCCTTCCACCCCCAAAGGAGAGATGAAGGATTAAGTCTGAATTTGGACATGGGTGTGCACCTTTTTTGTTGTTAAATGACACGGATGAAGCCTTCTCAGGTAAGAAAAATAAAGGAAAAGAAAATCAGTCGAGGCAAACCAAATCTTATCTTAAAATTTCACTCGTGAAGAAACTTTCAGTTCAAACTCACCGCTAGCACTAAGAATCAGCCCTTCAACGCCCTAATCATTTTCCTAACTAGGCCTTACTGAGGAGGACCATCAGTGCACAAAGATTATAACATACATCAATTTCAGATATGGCTCAAAAAGAAAATAAATTGTGTTGATCACTAAACTGAGATATGGAAGTAAATGACAAGGAAATACCAAGTAACATGGTTAAATTTTATAAAAGAAAAAATTGTACACTTCTTTTTTGAACAAATTAGTTCAATTATGGCAATAAAGCACCTGAAAGTCGACAAAGGCAACCGGAGTTCCATATGTGCTCTGCATCTTCAATTTCAGAAATCCAGGGCAACTGAGAAAGGACAAAAACAAACAAAATAAATTAAGTTCTACAAGCTTCACAGATTAGGAAAACAAAGAACAAAAATAATTGCTCCAAACCTTGAAAATACTTGAATTAGCTCTTCCTCTGAACAAGATGGCCCCAAATTAGCCACAAATAGTGTTAGACATGGGGAAACATTTTGCAGACCATGAGGTGCTGAAGAGTTGTGCTGCTAAGGTAGGAAAATCCCCAGAAGTTAACTCTTCATAAACAAAATAAAATGGCGAATAAAGATTCAAGCAAGCATTATTATTTTACTTAAGGAGGAAATGGTGGAAGACAGTTCATAATATAGATATTCATACTTTGAAGAGGACTCATCCAATTTCTCTTTAGGACCATAATGAAATGGCAAAAGAAACTTTTAGAAGCTGAAATTTAATAATGCCAAATATAAATCCAAAAATAAAACCTTACCAATTTTGCAGTGGTCTCATTCACAGCTCTACCATCAAAGTTCACATGACTGAAACATCAAAAGAAAAAATGAAAAAATAGACAAGGTTTCATAGAATTGTTCTATCGTAAGGCTGATAGTGTCCTCCAGCTGCAGGGAATAGGGCCTGTAATAAACTGCTTTTACTAGCCCTTGACCTATCAGCTAGAAGCAATTATTTCAAATAAGAAAATGTCGTTGTTCAGCTAAAGTAGTCGTTTCCAAGTAATAAAAATGTGCTTTAAGTAGTACAGATGACCTTTGCGTAGGTGGATAACCAATTGTGTTGTAAGCAGAATTACCAATTCCAGGCATATGAACGTTGCCAACACCTGCTAGTGCCCAAGCGTGCAAAAAATGTGCAATGTGAGCTTTTAGAATAATGTGTCTCCACGTGACTAACTAACTAGTATTCCAAGCAACATATCAGACAAGCACCCATGACAACATCCAGAAATTAAGCAAATGGTGAGAGGGGGGCTCTGAGGAGGTAACATAGAGATCAACCTCATTCAATTTAAATAATTCAGTAAAAGTGATAAAATAAATATATAAAAGAACAACAGTTTAGAAAATGGCAAAAATCTAACTTATATTTCATTCACATTTCCTTACCAAATCCCTATCCAAATTCATGATCCAACCACAGCTTTAAGGTTATGCATTTAATTTCGAGAATGATACTCACATTTCCTGCTAGCTTCTCCACAACTACTTGTAGGTAATTCCTGAACTTTGTTCTAAGCATCACAGTTACTTCACTGAGGCGCTTTCCATGAACAGTCAAGGACATTTTTTAGTTAAGCATATTATCAAACATGTAATGAGCAATCCACATCCAATAAAAAAGTAAAATAGAAATCAAAATTTAGGGTTTTTTTTTTTTTTTAAAAAAAAAGGGTAACAGTAAGCATCAATTTGACTAGAACCAACACCCCCAAAAAAAAAAAAAAACTACACATATAACCCAATTATCCACCAAAGGGTTTTAACCATTTAATTGAAAATCTACCAAGCCTAACAAAATTGGTAAGAGTGAAACACTATTGAACAAACAAGTTAAAAGGAAAATGAAACAATCTGAATCAAGGAAGCCCACAAACATCTAATTGTTCCCTAGTGCAAACGCATCCAGCAAAATCACTAAGAAAAGCAAAGAGAAAAACCACTCACAATATAAATTCCAAGCATTGCTTCTGTTTTTTCAAGCCTTCATATGAAACCAAGTAAAATTAGTTAATTATTATTATTTTTTTTTACAGAAATAAAACTTAAATCATCGTAATTTATCAAACATTTAGATTTCAAAAATTTTGATTTCTTCAACTAGTCGTAATCTTCAAAACACACACACACACACATATTGTACATACAATAATCAATGGCGACTCTAGGAATTTTTGCCAGCGGCATCAATCAAAAACTTAAATACCATATATCTTACAAAAAATTCACATTAATCATTATATCACCTATGGAGAAAATCAA